TCGATTAGGAGAGGTAACTCCTGTGTATAAATGTAGACGTAAAAACTGAACTTTATGGTAAAAATGTACCGTCTACAGATGATATATTTCCTTACAGATGTTTTATACATACACTCTTTTATTTTTCAAACTTGGTGTGATCAGTACGTATTTGTGTCTTGCTTTTAAATCTTAGAAAACATACTTGTGATGGGTCTGCTATAGGCAGTGACTTGCTTAGATCCTCCTTTAAGCCACAGTCAGTTCACCCACGCGTCCCTGTTATAAATAACACGGTAGCAGGGACCCTCGGACGTAAGGCTTGATCTCCGATTCTGATTTTCTCTGAGGAAAAGTCCTCGGCCTGGAATCACCAATGGGAATAAACTGTGCGAGCTGGCCCTTCACGGAGGCTCTCAGGCACAGGCACTGAGCTCCCGGCGTGAGAGCACATTAAAGGCCAGGCCGCTAGCAAATGCGTTCTATTAGAACCCTCAGCCACATTGCGTTTACATTGAATGTAAGCATTTCACATTGAATTACAAAACGAAAAGATGCTGTGACACAAAAGTAATGTTAATAACGTAAACATTACATGGAACTGTCTTATGCTGTTTTGTTTAAAGGCTCCTCAGTCTTGGATTTGACAAGTTTGTCAGAGTTGGGAGTGTTAGGAAGATCGCCAAGCCGGTCCTACCTTACAGGTAAGAAATCGTAATTCCAGAGCCATAGAGTGCTCTCAGAACACAGTCACCTTACAGACCTCCCTCAGATGTTTTCTGAGGAAGAATAGAGAACGCTTTGTCTTTTTCCTGGTTAACTTAGGAAATCTGTTTTTAACTTTTTTGTAATGTTTTGGAAATGGAGTGAAGAAGGTATTTTATGTTGTTCTTTCTTAGCTTGCACGCTGGCTCAGAAAATGCCAGTGAGCAATTGAAAGAATTACAGGCGCTGATGAAAGAAGACCTGACTCCCATGGAAAGAGTCTATGTGAGGAGAAGCATCGAGCAGCATAAACTGGGGACCAACAGGACCCTCCTGGGGCAGGTGAGGGACCTGCTAGGGCAGGGGACTGAACTGCTGGGCGGGGGGGCAGGGGGA